TCAATAAAACGTCAGTTTGCACTATTACAATCTTGTCAGGCAAGATGGAGTGGTGGATCTGAGGCTAGGGATCTGTGCCAGCAACTGGAAGGTTGCTGGTTCAAATTCTGTGAATGCCCAGAGTAATTCTACTCCATTGTGCCCTTGAGCAAGGCCAATTGAGCAAGGGCAATTGCTACATCCATCCCTTACAGGGAATAACTTGGGGGTTGGTGGTAGGATTGACACTCCAGCCACTGGAAAAAAACTCACACTGGTCCATTTAGACTAGCGTGGTGCTGAGGTATCACCCCTCACATGGCTGCACTCAGGATCCCATCCCTGAGGTGGTTTGTCATGTGGTGGGTGTGGCAAGGCCCTGTAATCAGTGCATGATCCTCACATCTCTCTCAGGCAGCGGTTTGCTGTCCAACAACACATGTCAGTGGGGTTCTTACCACCTTCCTCAACCCAGCTGAGGAACTTCTCAGCATGGAGAAGGCGTGCATATAACCACCAGCCCACAGCCAGATGTCTCTATTGAAGGCAATGGGTGTGACAACATCAATGTGGATGCATGCCAGGGGCGGATGTGGCATTAGAGACAGGGCATCCCCCTCTGCCTAAGAAGACAAGACATTAGATGTGGATGCATGCCAGGGGTGGATGTGGCATTAGAGACAGGGCATCCCCCTCTGCCTAAGAAGACAAGACATTAGATGTGGATGAAGAGATTGACTAAATTCTGCAAGGCTTTGAAATGAGGGCTATGTTGTATTTACAGCTGTTTAGTAATGTTTCTTTTACATTGTAAAAAAAAATATTTGATTCATGCCATCATTTGGAAGTTATATTTGAATGCATAGTGAATTTTTTGTTGCATTTTATATTGACAACACTATAAATGGTGTAACTAATTTTGAATCAAGTATCTAGCCTTTTTGGGGGGGGGTCACACATTTACTGCTCATGCTTTATTTATGATGACAGTATAATAGTGATAACTTTGGCACATGTTGTCAATGATTTAGACATTTTTGGTTCTTTTGCACTTGTGATAAAGTGTTGCGATAACTGCCTTTACTGACGTGGGAACTGCACTTAAACATTTGAAAAAAAACTGTAACCATGGGAGCCAAAATGCTTAGAAATATTGTCAAAATGTCAGCTGCAAAATTATGAATGACAGTCATATCCCACTTTCTCACTGTCACTGACTGATCATTGTTCTTGGCAGTGAGTGGCTCAGCAGACTAAGCCTTTGTGTCTGTGATCGGATGGTTGCTGGTTCAAGCTCTGGACTTGGTACAACAGTCACTTATCTATGGGCCCTTGGGGAAGGCCCTTAACCCCAGCTCCAGGGGTGCTGCACGATAGTTAATCCTGTGCTGTGTAACCCCCCCCCCCCCCCACCAGGCTATGAAGGGCAAGAGGGGGTAGGCAAAGAGATGAATTCTTATGTACCTGTACTTGTGCAATGGCCGATAAAAGATTATCATTAGTTATCTATTCATGTCAAAGACACCAGTTTCATCATTGCTAGGCTCTACATTATAGTATGTAAAGTTCACTTGCAAGAGAAAGCAGACATATGTTCTTCAGATCTCAAGACACAGCACAATAGCAAACAAAAAAGTAATAACAAAATATAATATGGCAACAAAATAATGTCCTGTTGGGTCCAAAAATGCAGCAATGCCGTATCATTGAAATTTATGGAATATCTTCTCGAATTTTTCTGAAAGCTTGGTGAACTGTTTTGCATGTGGTGGCTTACACAGTCACTTACTCGCATATTTTTGGGTGTGGAATTATTTCACTGGGAAACTCCATTTTTCCAACAAGACGTAAGCAACTCAAAATTGTGCCAAATGATGACAATTGTACAAAACCGTTTGCATACATGCACTAAAACATTTGGAAATTTGTGTGAAACAATGAGAAATGACGTTCTACTGTGTAGAAGTGACATTATGGTGTGGGGATTACACTCGATGGTTTGCAAATATTCATTGTCATTTGAGAAATGTGTCAAAGCAGTCAGGATAAACTGTAAATGTTGTTTTGTTGTCATTCTTGGCTGTTTGAAAAAGCATAGATAATTTGTGAAGAATTTCTTTTGAAAATGTAAGAACAAGAGGTGACACAGTGGTGGAGTTCTTGGCCTTAAAAATGATAAACATGTTTTTATTCCTAAACTAATGAAGTAGAAGTCAAACATCCGGTCTCACTTACTTCGTTGGGAGAAAAAAAGAACAAAAAAATATCCACTGAAAGTTTAACTTAAAAATATAAAAAAGAAAACAAAATAAGTACACGACAAATGTAGGCTGACAAATCGACTGAGGTGCCTGAGGTGGACGCTGCGTCACAAATAATTTGACAGATTTTTAAAAGGTGCGCTATCTGAGCTGTGCACTGGGTACTGGTGACGCACGCAGCCATGCAGCGCAGCTGCCGTACACACTTTTCAGGGTCATCACCTGACATGAGACTGAAGCGATACACAATTTTGGTGGGACGGAGGGGTGCAATTGCACCCCCTACTGGTCAGAGGAAAATGCTATTTGAACATACAGTACTACAGATTTTCTCGATTGCTTTGGACAGTTTCTCTAAAAGGTCTTGTGGTTTTTTCAGCAGATTCAGCATTTCTCAAAATTGTATGCTGCGGCGCAATAATTTGGATAACAAGCAAAATTAAGTAATTAATTCAAACCTTTCATTCAAGTCTCAAAATGTAGTACCAATTAGTGTTTAGTCAACATGAAAGTGTACTGTGGAAATAATTTTAGAATTAAAATTGATCAATTGTTGCTCAATTTACTTCACTATTATTTCTCTATACAGTGGTACCTCGGTTCTCGAACTCACTAGAACTCGAATTTCTTGAAAGTCGAACAAACCAGTTTGACCTTAGAACTCGATCTGAATATCAGAAGTCGAACCGTGAAGGCTGACCTAATATAAATTGTA